TGTTTTTTTTTTTAAATATGTAAATAAGATCAACAAGGTGATAAAAGTTTTATTCTTTTATAGTTTTATAGGGAAGAAATAACAATAATTTAAAAACTGTACTTTTTTCGTCAACACTAATTATACAAAAAAAATTTTTATTTAATATAAATCAGATAGGCACATCAGAAAAACTTTTCGCCAAATATATAAAAAAACTCCGTAAAAAATAGCAGTATCAAAAATAGCATTATCAAGGTCTTGTTATTTTATTCGTTAACTTAAAGGCGCAGAATCTTTTCCAGGTGGCCAACAAAAGTGCAAAACAGATGTGCACTTGCGTTCCTATATTGATAAAATAATAGTTAACATTTCATTTATGCAATTGTTTAATTATTTGCTATTGTTACTTGGAATATATATATATATATATATATATATATATATATATATATATATATATATATATATATATATATATATATATATATATATATATATATATATATATATATATATATATATATATATATATATATATATATATATATATATAGGACTCTAATTATAACTATATAATTAATATTTAAACAAATTGTAAATTCAAAAAAAATAAACTTAATTCGAGTAAACATTTTTTTGACAAATTTTTAAATTAAAATCAATAAACTTATTATAATACAATTCAAATTAAATTAATTAAAATAAGAATTAATTTCTGTTAGCATCTGACTATCTGCAAAACGCTTTAAGTAACAAAATATAAAAATTTTTAGTTAGTTTCGTTTCCAGACTGACAAAGGAAATATTAAATTCTGTTGATGCGTACCTAAGACTAATTCAGCTTATCGTCGTTTTCTCGAAATCGGACCTAGCGTGATTTGCGAATGGGCTCATATAATTTAATATTAAAATGAAATTCAACCAAAAAAGATTCACTGTGACCACTCTGTCGTTGTTATACCAAATAATGTGCAACTCGGTGTTTTAGTAACATTATGGTAGATTTAAAGAAACATTTTTTTAAAGCATTGACATTTTAATGTTTCTTTCAAATTACCTAATATTCATGTTATTTTCTGTATAATGATGATTCAATTTATCTTTTTCAGAAATAAATTAGTTTTAAAACGTAGCTAAAATTAAATAGTAAAATCAGCTTTTTTTATTTATTTATTTTTTCATCAATTTATTATTATTAATGTACACAGTTTTTTGGTAGTTGGTAATATACAATCTGCTAACTGCTAAACATTATATTTTAAAGCCCACAATTTTTTTTTTTTTTTTTTTAATGTAAATATAAGTAAAGTTATAAAATATATTTTAGGTATAACTGGGCGTAAAATATAAATAAATAAAAATTTACTAACGTATTTAAAATGTACATAATATTATAAAAGATTTTGGTTTTGGCAGGGTATTCTGAATATACCATTAGCAGGTAATCAAAATTATATCAAAAACGGTGAACAATCAAATCATCGATAATAAACAAACTTACCTTGTACCCAATTTAAATATAGAGTTACCTGTACCAAATTTAAATAGAAGGTATGCCTTTAAAGGATTGCGACCAAAGTTTTTTTTTAAATATATTTATAGTAGTTAATTTAAAAAATAGTTATTTATATAGTTAGTGGAAATATTTTTAAAAATGTATTTACAACAGTTGAATTTCTAACAAATCTACCTTTTTTGAAGAAGTATCACTCTTTATAGGACTTTTCACTTGATCTAAAGGGATTTTTGCCTTGTTAATAAGTTTTTGCCCCAATGACTGGTCATTCAATCTATCAAGAAAAAAAAAAAATAATAATAATTACTTTTATATATTTCAAAACTTTAATTTTTAAAATATAATTTGCAAACAAGTCTTTATCAGTCAAAGGAACTATGGGGTTTACCAATGGGTCATTACCCCTAAAACCTTTTAAATATTATAATGTGCTAATGTTTGTTGAAATTTAAATTGTTTATAATTTAAAGTTAATTATTATATAATAATATATATGTTTGTGTTTGCAATTTTATTTAGTTTTCTGGCTGTTCTTTAAAATTTGTAATAAAATAAGAATATTTGAAAATACACCAATACTTGATAAGTTCTGAGTTTTTCTTTGAATCTCTCAACCGAGCATTTTTTGGTCGTGCATCAATTAGCTACAATCATAGATTTAAAAAGTGATAAAAAACACCAAAGGTTTTATACATACAAAAAATTGAAAAATTAACTTACAGCAAAAAATGCAACACAAATCAAAAAAATGCAAATTCGAGTCATTCTAGAAGTAGATAATATTTTACAATAAATACAAACCTTTCTTTTCGTTTCTTTTATATCATACCTGATTTGGATTAGCTTTTTAGGATTGCCGACTCGTATTAAAATTTAAATTAATTATCACACTTAACTAACTTAACTAAAGTATAACAAAGATTATGAAATGCAATTGCTAAATGCGTAAGTAACTTGAAAATATAGAAAAATAGTTTAAAATACAAATCGTTTTAGCGCGGGGTCTTTTTGAGGTAAATCCGATTAACGAGAAAATAACAAACAAAACAAAAATACCTATATTAAATTAATTCTAACCAATAAAAAAAAACAAAAATAAAAATTAATAAAAATATATTGAAACCTTTTTTTAACACTGCTTAATTAAATTTTTTTAGGGAAAAGATGGGTAACCCGGACAGCAGGTAACTCCGGACACTTGATGTACAGCTTAAACTAAAGAAGCTATGTGATTTTAAATTCATTTTAATTTAAAACATTTAAATACATTTGAAAACATTATTTGAGTAAAAATATGGAGTTTGCAAAATATATTTTATAATATCCCAAAACTGGCTGGGAGCCAATTTCTTTGGTATATTATACATATTTTTTTTATTATATATATATATATATATATATATATATATATATATATATATATATATATATATATATATTATATATATATATACATATATAAATGTATATATATATATATATATATTATACATATTATGATATAAATACATATTATTTACTATCACCAGAAGATCGATATACCATCATATTGTTAACCACCACCAGAAGAGCGATATATCATTATATTTGATTCACATAATTATATACCTAATTTTTATGTAAATTAAAAACTTTTTATTGGTTAGAGATTTTTATTCACAATAGTTACAAAAATAAAATTTAACCTGCTTCTTCTTGCTTCTGGCCGGAGCAAGAAGAAGACAGGTTGACTTATCACCGAGCCCCGTCACACAAATATTTACATGCACAATAAATGATAAAAGACAAAAAGACAGTTTAAATATAAAAATAAAAATAAAAAACATTTGGGTTATATAAACAGCAATATAATAATTTGTTGCTAACAATCTTTCAGAAGAACAATTTTAAAAGTAAAAAAGTAAAAACGACAGAAAATTATTAAAGTGATAAAAAAACAAAAAAAATGAGAGGTTCGGATTGTGATTTTCTATTTGCCCCAAATACTTTTCTGCAAGCATTATTTTGTTTACTATAAATTTTTTGAGTTTAGTGTGATTAGTGCTATCTCGGGAAATGTTACAATATGAAAGATAGCTGTGTATAAACAAAAAATATAAATTTTTCAAGGACTCGTTATTAAGAAAGGTTCGCTATAACTTGGCAATATTTTTTGAGATCTTACCTTGAATATATTTAATATAAAATTTCCATGACAATTTTTTATCTTAGAGCACTCCCAGAAAATTTATAGTCAATTCCCTTTTAATTATTTTATTATTTATTAAAAGATTGGGTAGTTTAAGAGGAATATTCTCGGCTTTACTAGGTTTATGGAATAGGATAAATTTTGTTTTCTCTACATTTAATGATAGTCGGTTACTTATAAACCACTTGTTGATCTTATCTCATTCTTCGTTAAATATTTTAAAAAGAACAGTAATATCTATGTGAGAATAAAACAAATTAGTGTCATCTAAAAATAAGATAGTGTTTAATACTTTTGATGATAAATATAAGTCATTTATATAAAGTAAGAACAATAATGGTACCATAATAGAACCTTGGGGTACTCCACAAGATAGTCAATTGTTTTTTGATTCTATTGATTCTTTAAGATAAATTGCTTTCTGTTAGTTAAGTATAGTTTAATCCGTTTATTTAGTTAAGTATGACTTAATCCGTTAACATATTTAAATGAGCAACTTTTTTTTTTATAAATTCTAATAAATTTAATATAATACACAAACCTATAATTGTTATTCATTTTATTGTTATAAAAAGACATCAAATTTGAAAAAAATGTTTTTAGAATATTTGTTTACATTAGTAAAAAGCTAATGTTTGTATTTCTAAATGAATAAATTTTCATTCCCATTACTTATATATAAGTTTTAATTTTTTAATATAACATTTTTTCTAAAACCCTTTTTTTCCTGATTTATAAAATTAAAAAAAAAAAAACAATCAGATTAAATAATTTCAGAAAACAATTGCAAATCGCCGCGTTCATTTTCAAATTGTTGCCCTCTAGTAGAAAGTAGCAAAAATTAGGCTATGGAAATTTTACAAAATCCTTTAAAATGTATTTAAATCACATAGCTTCTTTAGTTTAAGCTGTACATCAAGTGTCCGGAGTTACCTGCTGTCCGGGTTACCCATCTTTTCCCTAAAAAATTTTAATTAAGCAGTATTAAAAAAAGGTTTCAATAAGTTTTTATTAATTTTTATTTTTGTTTTTTTTTATTGGTTAGTATTAATTTAATATAGGTATTTTTGTTTTGATTGTTACTTTCTCGTTAATTGGATTTACCTCAAAAAGACCCCGCGCTAAAACGATTTGTATTTTAAACTATTTTTCTATATTTTCAAGTTACTTACGCATTTAGCAATTGCATTTCATAATCTTTGTTATACTTTAGTTAAGTTAGTTAAGTTTGATAATTAATTTAAATTTTAATACCAGTCGGCAATCCTACAAAGCTAATCCAAATCAGGTGTGATATAAAAGAAACGAAAAGAAAGGTTTGTATTTATTGTAAAACATTATCTACTTCTAGAATGACTCGAATTTGCATTTTTTTGATTTGTGTTGCATTTTTTGCTGTAAGTTAATTTTTCAATTTTTTGTATGTATAAAACCTTTGGTATGTATGTATAAAACACTTTTTAAATCTATGATTGTAGCTAATTGATGCACGACCAAAAATTGCTCGGTTGAGAGATTCAAAGAAAAACTCAGAACTTATCAAGTATTGGTGTATTTTCAAATATTCTTATTTTATTACAAATTTTAAAGAACAGCCAGAAAACTAAATAAAATTGCAAACACAAACATATATATTATTATATAATAATTAACTTTAAATTATAAACAATTTAAATTTCAACAAACATTAGCACATTATAATATTTAAAAGGTTTTAGGGGTAATGACCCATTGGTAAACCCCATAGTTCCTTTGACTGATAAAGACTTGTTTGCAAATTATATTTTAAAAATTAAAGTTTTGAAATATATAAAAGTAATTATTATTATTATTTTTTTTTCTTGATAGATTGAATGACCAGTCATTGGGGCAAAAACTTATTAACAAGGCAAAAATCCCTTTAGATCAAGTGAAAAGTCCTATAAAGAGTGATACTTCTTCAAAAAAGGTAGATTTGTTAGAAATTCAACTGTTGTAAATACATTTTTAAAAATATTTCCACTAACTATATAAATAACTATTTTTTAAATTAACTACTATAAATATATTTAAAAAAAAACTTTGGTCGCAATCCTTTAAAGGCATACCATCTATTTAAATTGGGTACAGGTAACTCTATATTTAAATTGGGTACAAGGTAAGTTTGTTTATTATCGATGATTTGATTGTTCACCTTTTTTGATATAATTTTGATTACCTGCTAATGGTATATTCAGAATACCCTGCCAAAACCAAAATCTTTTGTAATATTATGTACATTTTAAAAACGTTAGTAAATTTTTATTTATTTATATTTTACGCCCAGTATAACCTAAAATATATTTTATAACTTTACTTATATTTACATTTAAAAAAAAAAAAAAAGTTGTGGGCTTTAAAATATAATGTTTAGCAGTTAGCAGGTTGTATGTTACCAACTACCAAAAAACTGTGTACATTTATAATAATAAATCGATGAAAAAATAAATAAATAAAAAAATCTGATTTTACTATTCAATTTTAGCTACGTTTTAAAACTAATTTATTTCTGAAAAAGATAAATTGAATCATCATTATACAGAAAATAACATGAATATTAGGTAATTTGAAAGAAACATTAAAATGTCAATGCTTTAAAAAAATGTATCTTTAAATCTACCATAATGTTACTAAAACACCGAGTTGCACACCATTTGGTATAACAACGACAGAGTGGTCACAGTGAATCTTTTTTGGTTGAATTTCATTTTAATATTAAATTATATGAGCCCATTCGCAAATCACGCTAGGTCCGATTTCGAGAAAACGACGATAAGCTGAATTAGTCTTAGGTACGCATCAACAGAATTTAATATTTCCTTTGTCAGTCTGGAAACGAAATTAACTAAAAAATTTTATATTTTGTTACTTAAAGCGTTTTGCAGATAGTCAGATGCTAACAGAAATTAATTCTTATTTTAATTAATTTAATTTGAATTGTATTATAATAAGTTTATTGATTTTAATTTAAAAATTTGTCAAAAAAATGTTTACTCGAATTAAGTTTATTTTTTTTGAATTTATAATTTGTTTAAATATTAATTATATAGTTATAATTAGAGTCCTATATATATATATATATATATATATATATATATATATATATATATATATATATATATATATATATATATATATATATATATATATATATATATATATATATATATATATATATATATATATATATATATATATATATATATATATATATATATATATATATATATATATATATATATATATATATATATATATATATATATATATATATATATATATATATATATATATATATATATATATATATATATATATATATATATATATATATATATATATATATATATATATATATATATATATATATATATATATATTCCAAGTAACAATAGCAAATAATTAAACAATTGCATAAATGAAATGTTAACTATTATTTTATCAATATAGGAACGCAAGTGCACATCTGTTTTGCACTTTTGTTGGCCACCTGGAAAAGATTCTGCGCCTTTAAGTTAACGAATAAAATAACAAGACCTTGATACTGCTATTTTTTACGGAGTTTTTTTATATATTTGATGAAAAGTTTTTCTGATGTGCCTATGTGATTTATATTTAAATAAAATTTTTTTTTGTATAATTAGTGTTGACGAATAAAGTACAGATTTTAAATTATTGTTATTTCTTCCTTTTAAAACTATAAAAGAATAAAACTTTTATCACCTTGTTGATCTTATTTACATAATTAAAAAAAAAAACATTTGAGAATCGCGAACATGGATACAGCAACCAAATTCTCTCCGTTAATTTTAACTAACCCGTACGAAAATTTCCCATGGGAATTTTAGAAAAAAAACCCATGAAAAACCATGGGTATTTGGAACACGTTCCCATGAAAAAACCATGAGTTTTCCATGGAAAAACCATGAGTTGTTTTCCATGGAAAAACCATGAGTTGTTTTCCATGGAAAAACCATGAGTTTTCCTTGGAAAAACCATGAGTTTTCATGGAAAACACATGAATTTCCCATGAAAAATCTTTAAGTTTTTCATGGAAAAGTGTTCCAAATACCATGGATATTCAATGATTTTCCATCCATGGAAAAACCATGGAATTTCCATAGGTATTAGAAACACCTTTCCAAAGAAAACTTATGGATTTTTCATGGTAAAAAAGCATGATTTGTTTTCAAGTTTTTTTTATCTAATGTCATTTGAATTGTCATATCAAATCATAAAAGCAAATTTTATCCCACTATTATTGAGTTCTCTTAATCTATGAGATCGCTTTCTCCAAATAAAATCAATAAACAAAATAAAATTTAAATCTTGTTAAATCCTACAAATCTTTAAAAAATAATAGCTATAATGCACATAAAACATCAAAACTTGACTTCCCCACAATATTTAATGCATGCATATGTATAACATACTGAAAATAAATAAAACAAAAAATTACAAGTAATATAATACTATAAGTGATATACATAGTGATAAACAATTCAAATTTATCAAGAAAACAATTTTTACAGAATATAAAACAATTTACATGTTTATTATTTTATATTAACTATTTGATAAAAATAGTATATATAAATTTGATAATAACTTCAAGTTTTAACAAGTTAAAAAGAACCATCAATACAACATATTTAATTCAAAAAAACATCAAGCCCATTTATAAATGCGTCTGTACTGTATCTGTAGAAACAGGTAGATGTTAAACAAAGTACCATTCACATATTAATATTCACTTTTTTTCACCCTAGTTAGTCTCATTCTCCATTTCACCAATCTAGACAATACATCATACAACTATTATATACATTCTAACTAGTTTTCTTTATTTACTAATTCATTTTACTTATAATTATTATCTATTATAACTTACTTTATAATTAGGCATTATACACAATTATGAATGTTGCCAAATGTTAGGTAACATTTATATAGAAAAAAGTAGCAATGAATATATCATTATTTATAAATACAAGTTATTAGATTGTTACCTCTTTTTTGCCTAAGCTATCTGCATTATGTACAACATCGTTTATATTTCCAGTCAAACATTCCTGCCTATAATGTAACTTTATTAAAAAGATTTATTCAAACTAATACATATATAAATGTTACCTGCATGTTAGAAACATTTATATAGAACAAGGCAGTAACAAATATTATATTATATATTTACTTTTGTAATTAAAAAGAAAAAACTTACTTCTTCTTCTGAGCTATCTGCATGATGTACAACATCATTTACAAACCTGTTTTCTTCACGTCCTTCTATTTTTTAATATATTATAAAGCACAGGACTTGTTAATGAACGGCTAAATAAATAAATTAAAAATTTATATTTAAATGAAATGATAAGGTTAAAATGAAAAGATTTATACACATATATAAATTTTACCTACATGTTAGTAACATTTATATAGAATAAGGCAGCAACAAATATAGTATAACTTATAAATTGTAATTTTAAGTAAAAACTTACTTCTTTGTCTGAGCTGTCTGCATGATGTACAACATTATTTATATTGTCAGTCAAACTTACCTGCTTATAATGCAGTAATTTAAATAAAATGATAAAGTTAAAATAAAAGAACTTACGCACATACCATTAAATTCAAAAATTTATTATATTTTTACTTCACTATTTAAAACATAACAAGTATGTAATTTATAAAGTATAGTAATGTAAAAGCATAGTAAATATCAAAGTGTGTGCATAAATTAATTTATTTTAACTAAAGACAAGCACTTTAGGGGCCATCCATAAAGTACGTACGCATGTATGGGGGGAGGGGGGGTTATCCTGAAACGTACGAATGCGTACAGGGGGGGGGAGGGTGTTAACGACAGCGAGTACGTACGCGGTTTAACTATCTCTCCTAAACTTCTTTATAAAAACATTACTTCTTTATAAGTAACGAGGAGAGAAAAAATCGAGCTATAATATCTCCAAATAATGTTTTCCATTTTTTGCAACATAATTCGACTGTAGCAAGATGAAAAGTAACAAAACTGTAATCAAAGAAAACTTCTTCTGAATTCTTTTTTTAATTACGAACCTGGTTTTTTCCATTTCTCTTAAAAGGTTAATATTTTGTTTTTAAAAAACAATAAAATAAAAAAAGGTAATATTATTATTTTTTTTATCATTAAAGTTAATATTAACATACATTAAGATTGTTAAGGACAGGCGAAGCGAAATGAACATACATGTGACAATGCATATGACAATCATTGTGATAATTGTAAAAAATAGTTACTTTAAATACTGATGGAAACCAACACTTTTTATGATGCAATGTAACGGCAATTATCTTGAGTAAACTAAAACAAAAAAACTTTTATGATTCTATTCGAAAACTCAATACGCCTCATTGGAAAAAAAACTTATTATTTATTATGACCAAGATGCCGCGCGGGAACGAGAAAAATACCTTCAATTCCTTGAGTTATATAAAAAAGCATATTCAACACTTGAAAAACAAAAGCAGTATCAGCAAGCACAAGAGTTGTGGAAAATAGTAAAAAACAATGAATCCTTGTATGAAAAAAAAATAAATGAGTTAAAAGAGAAAGTAACAAAGTCGAAAGTATCACTTATGTCATTCTGGGGAAATACCATTTCACCACCTAGCAAAAAGAAAAAAGATATCCATCCAGCGCCGTCTTCGTCAAATGAAACACGAAGTTTCCTAAATGCAACTACGACAGAGCCTGCAAGGATTGAAATTAGTAAGCTAATTTCTGTAATATTTTAAAAACTTTTTCTCTCTTGTGATTTTCTATACATTAGGCCGGGTGAATAAAAAAGAGCAATTGCTTTTTCTCAGTAACTGTTCAGCTTTGCGTGAATAAAAATTTGACCAAGATTGCTCAAATTTTTATTCACGTAAAGCTGAACAATTTACTCCAACAACGCTCAACTTTACGTAAATAGAAACTTGAGGATAATTGCTCAATTTTTTATTCACGTAAAACTGAACAATTACTGAGTAAAAGCAATTGCTCTTTTTTATTCACCCGGCCTACTGAGTTTAACCGTATTGTAAATCAAACTACATCGTACGACCTTAGAGCAGTCACAGAAATTTATAATGTTGACCACTAGACCTATTTTTCTATATCCAAAAAAAATTAATTAGTAGTAATTGTCAAGAATTTATAATAGCTTATTTTTTGGCATTTTTTAATTTAGATTTAACAGACAACAAAAAAGAAAGAGAAAATCCGGCACAAGTTAGGAGTCGAAAGAAAATCTCAGATCTTGAATCACAACGTGCATCCTTGATAGTCGTACATGATTCTGGTTTATCTACCGTAACAAAGGAACAAATAAACACAGTGAAAGAAACCATAAGAAAAGAAAAAACAAAATTGGACAGGTAAGATAATTTAGTTATGTATTTCTTTATTTGATATTTCATTTTAGAATGCTTAACTGTCAGGTTTGTAGTAAATATCAAGAGATATATGTTAAATAATACAGAGTTTATTTATGCGTATAGAAAAGCGTCTTGGCTATAAAAACCAAACATTTTCAAAGACAGAAACTTTCATAATCTTATTGTAAATAATACTTTCTTATTTGAAATAAGAATTTGCGTACTTTTTCTTTTGCAACATTAGCCAAAAGTTGCGAAACCTTAAATATAGAAGTTTTTATAACGGAATCAAAGCTTTACTGATATTTCGTTTTCAGATTGATTCGTGAATCAGCTCGTCAAAGAAAACGAAGACAAAAACTTAAAGAGAGCATCGAAACTGTGTGTCAGAACATCCCTGAAGCATCAAGTGCTTTGAAACAGTTTAGTCGAAACCATACTGGACGACCGCGTCTCGAAGTTGACCAACCAGAGCTTTTATCAACAATTATAAAAATTGTGCAAAATTTATCAGCAGCTGACGAACGTCGAAGAACAGAATGTCTCCGTAGCGTCTCCACTTTAGATGACCTTTAGGAAGAGTTGACAAAGATAGGCTTTACCTTGAGTAGGAGTGGTTTGTAACTTCGTCTTTTACCACGACGTGGAAACACTTCTGAAGGAAAAAAACATGTCAGCACAGTTCCAGTAAAGCTGTTACGTCCAGAAAACTCAATGCGAAAAAAAAATGACGATAGAATGTTTGCCAAATCATTCATTGACGACATGTTCGAAGTTTGCAAATTGTTTGGACCAAAAGCTGTGCTTTTCATTTCCAACGATGATAAAGCCAGGGTCCCATTGGGTATTGCTGCAGCAAGCCTTCAAGCGCCGTTGCTGATGCATATGGAATACAAGGTCAAACTCATGGATCACGATTTTGTCGTTAGCTCACAGCACAAATTGATCCCATCAGTGTATGGCGTATGCGAAGTTAACAATACTGGAAATGTATCATACAGTGGGGACACTTTCATACGCATAAGAAGTGCGAAACACGATACATCAAATGCTTTTACACATGCTTTTGATGTTAGAGAGCTTTTTAAAATCGAGTTGGTTAAACGTAGACCAATTATGTTAATGGAGACTGATGGAGCTCAGGATGAAGCACCACGTTTCCCTAAAATCTTAGCAACTGCTGTTGACCTCTTTCGCTTGCTTAATTTAGATGCCCTTCTTCATGGTGTGAATGCAGCTGGCCTTTCAGCCTTTAACCCCGTAGAACGAAGAATGGCACCTCTTTCTCGTGATTTGGCTGGAATAGTCCTTCCTCATGATTTTTTTGGCAATCACCTTGATTCTTCTGGAAAAACAATCGACTATGAATTGGAGGTAGAGAACTTTCAAAAAGCGGCTGACGTTTTATCCCAAGTTTGGGAGAAAACCGTCATTGACGGGTATCCTGTTCATTGCCAGGCTGTACCAGTTGGGAAAGCATATGAACCACCAATTCCAGATCCTGTTTGGGTAGACAAACATTGTCAGCAATCGCGATACAGCCTACAAATCGTAAAATACCAAGAGGAGTCATGTTGCACACCGTTTGAAACAAACTGGCTGAAAAACTTCCCCCAACGTTTCGTTCCATTTCCGGCAATCTACGAATACTGCGAGAATGGTTACAAAGCAATGGAACCGTCTCGATATTTTAAAAACGTATCAAAACAATCAACGTTTGCACCACTGACACATCGACTTTTGCTACATGATATACCTATAGAAGGATTAAAATACAAAATTATACCATTTGATCTGTATTGCCCATCGTTAAAGGAAAAGCTCTCAAACGGAATTTGCGACAAGTGCAATAAATACTGGCCAAGCGAGGCTGCAATGAAACGGCACAAGAAAGCACATACACAAAAAAAAAATACGGTTGAAATGGAGAGTGAGGATAGTGTAAGTGACAGTGAATCTATTAATAAAAGTGAAGATATCAGTGAGGAGATTGATTATAAAAGTGTGGAAGCCGAGTTCATGCCTGTATTTGATAACATATTTGATTTATTTAAGTCACCATTTGAGGAAATATGAAATTTAAATACTCGCAACAAGAATTCTTTTTTAGAATATTTTTCTTTCTTTAACAAAAACTGGAAAGTTATTAACAAATAACTTTCCGGTTTTTAATTAAGCACAGAGAAATTAATAAAATGTTTTTTTGTGTTTAATGTTTTGAAAAATTAATGCGTTGGGGAAGGAAGGGGAGGAGAGCCTGAACTTGTAATAAAAAATGCGTACGTACGCAGAAGGGGGGGGAGAGGTCGTTGAAAGCATACAAGTGCGTACAAGGGGGGAGGGGGGTCCTAAATCAGTGGTTTTACTGCGTACGTACTTTATGGATGGCCCCTTACATCAGTTAAATATAAACAAATAAAAATAATTGTATTATAATAAATAATAGTGTATTATTTATAAACATTGCTTTTATATGCTTATATTTAACTATGAAGTAAAATCTTGTGCATTAAGTAAATTCCCTTACTGATACTTATAAAATATTACCACAGTTTTCCTTCTCCAACTAAGTGGTTCTTGGAACATCCTTACAAGTTGAATCCCAAAGATTATGTTAATATCTTTTCTGGTTTAAACTCAATTCACCATTTTATTTTGACAGCTTTTGAACTATTTTTAAAAATATTAAATGCATATAAAAACTGACGATGTTATAAACAATATAAACGATGAACAACATTATTTATATTGCCAGTCAAAC